AAAAGAGGGGATATATCGTCCGTTCTTCCTTGGCTGATTGAGTATACCAAGGCGGCGAGTGCAAGGAGCAGGGGACCGGCACGGGAAGACACACCCGACGACAAGTTCAAAAGGGCGGCGAGGGCGTGCCGGCACTCTGGAGGCGTGAAGGACGCAGCAAGAGCGCTCCTAGTCGATCAAACGTCACCGGGGAACGACGAGACATGGGCACGTCTGAAAGCCAAATTTCCGCATGAGGATCCCGTACAAGTGGAGCAGGCCATCGCCGAAGCCATAGCTGCAAGCCGCACCGAGGAGGAGGAAGGAAGCGCCCCGAGATGGAGGCCAGAAACCGAGTTCGATCCACAAGTACTCCTTCAAGTCATCAACAGCAGAAGCTCTAACTCTGGAGCAGGAAATGACGGGCAACGTTTCTCCCACCTTAAGTCCATCGTCAACACTAAAATTGGTCGGGAAGAGTTCAGCAACGCGATGTCGTCCCTTTGGAGGAGGCTCATCAACGATCCCAACGCGTTCCCACCGGAGTTCTGGACTCTTTGGAAACAATCCAGTCTAATCGCCCTCGGTGAAAAGTGCCGTCCAGTGTGCATTGGAATGACTTGGAGAAGGCTGATTGCAGCGGGAACGGTCAGGGAGTGGAAACCGAAACTGGAAGAAATATTTCGGGAAGCGGACCAATTCGGAGTGGCGGCAGCTGGAGGAGTTGAACAAGTTGCGATGGACGCACAACTGGTTCATCAGACAGGTCATTGGGTAGTCCAGACGGATTGCTCAAATGCCTTCAACATGGGCAAGCGCACCGCCACAATGGCTCAAGCCGCAAAGAGCGTCCCAGATCTCGTGGGGTACATCGCCAGGTGTTACGACGAAATCCCGGCAAAGGCGATATACACGATGGACTCCGGAGAGCGTCGGACGATCGAGTGCAAGAGCGGTGTGCAGCAAGGAGATGGAATGGGACCGCCCCTGTTCTGCTTCATCCTAGTCCCGATCGTCTTGAAGCTTAGAGCCAAGTACGACCACATCGGGGTAAGCTTGCAAGCATATATGGACGACATCAGCTTCCCCCACCAGAGCACGACGTGACGCCAGCAGAAAGGAGGCTACTTGGCGATCCAGGCCTACCGATTGCGGAGGAGGGCATCACAGTTGTGGGAGTCCTCATTGGGACGGATGCCTACGTCGAGGATTTCGCAATGAAAGTGATAACTGAAGGGGGTGCAGACAAGCTTGCTCGCATGCTGGTGCGCATGCCAGACAAACAGGTGGCTCACCTCGTCACATCACAATCGCTGACACAGCGATCCGGATATATCGAGAGAGGCATCAATCATAATTTAGTGAGAGGGGCTTGTGAACTCCTGGACAATATGGTGATGTGGGTCCTAGAGGCAACGATGGGGCTCAGAGACACCGAAGTCGAAGAAGAGTTCTTCCAAGACGACTACCAGCCTGACCGCTTCAAGATAAAGACCTATCAACAAGCCCAGGCGCGCCTGTCGACAGGAGCCGGAGGACTAGGATTACCAGCAGCCGTTATGCGAAGGTTCTCAGCTTCTCTGGGCAACCTAGTCGGCACCCTTCCTGCGGTTATAGCCGCGTTACGGGGTCCATTGGGAGAGTCGGTGAGAGTTCGGATACCGGGAACCGTGTTGGTGGAGCGGATGGGGGACGCTATCAAAGAACTCAACCAGGAGCATGCAATATCGGTGGAGATTCTGAAGGGGATCCTTCCCCCGTCATGGGTTGAGTGGGCCTTAGAACCGGCAGGAGAAACCGGAAGGCGTCAGCCCACCGTTGCAGAACTGGCAGCACACGATGGGGAATCTACTACGCCGAGGAAAGCCCAGCACAAACTGGGCAAGGCGATTAACAAGATACAACTTGAAAAGTTCATGGAGTCTCTGGAGCACCTCCCTCAGGAGGCGGTACCACCCACGCGGGACAACCCCTACGGAGGTCAAGAGGCCAGGAACATGGCATACGCACGAACGAGAAGCTCGCAAGGGCAAGGGGGACACGCGTTCCTGAGAGCGGCTCCCACCGACCGAGCTCGAGAGATTCCATCGAACGAATTCGTCTACGCGACGAGACGCGCCTTGGGAGTTGAAGAATTCTTGGCGGAAAAATGTCCCAGGTGCCACAGAGGCAGGGAAGGCGAGATCATCACAACGGTGCACGCAAGGACCTGTCCAAGGGATGGAGCACAGGTCAACATGCACGAGCCGTTAAAATACGCACTATCGAGAGCACTCAACGGCCTTCGCGTCAAACACGACGTTGAAAGCGGGGCACCGTTCACGGGGGAAAGAAACCTGAGCATGGACATCGTCATCAGGCCAGGAGCCCTCACGAACGCATCTTCTCCGGGGTACCGCAAGAAAGGAATACTCCTCGATGTCACACACGCAGACCCGCAAGCACAGGTACACTTGCGGAACGGCAGCGCGACCAGCGATGGAATCGCAGCCCAAGCATCCGAGGCGCGAAAGCGTCAGCACTACGCTCGTCCGGGACACGTGTCCTTTGACGAACGCAGCTTTAAACTTACCACCTTAGCCGTGGAAAGCTTTGGCCGCCTTGGAGAGGAGGGTTACGAGTTCATTGATGAACTTGCGACACATGCCGTGGAGGAAGGGACGGAGGAACGATGGCTCTGAAAGGGGTCTTCAAGGAACGACTTCTTCAGATCGTTTCGGTGGCTGCACAGGTGGCCATATCTCGGCGAGTGCAGAGGTCCAAGCTCGCATTGCGCGGGCGTCAAGGCGCCGAAAACAGGCGAACGAGATCGACCTCGGACCAGTCAACGCCAATGATATGGGGATGGAGTGTAGACGCATCGTAGAACGCGTTTTCGTTTGAAGTTGGCGTCTTGTTTGAGAGTACAGTAGATGTGAAAGATTTGCGTAGAATAGGGTAAGATGTTATCATGAACGGAGAAGAAAGGGCTTTTCCAACACGGAGATGTAGCATGGATCAAAGCATTTGTTGGATTTCAGCTTTTACAAGAGGACATCAACGCAGTAGTATTTTAGCAAGCTTACGAACGCATATAGGATACCATCAGGATTGTCATTGGTTTTATTTCAAATTGAAGAGGACATATTTTTACGTTGTATGTGACAGTAGAAATAAGTCCTACATGTTGTTGTACTTCTTATTGGTTTAATATTCATGCAGATTTTGAGACATTAAGTGAAAGTTTTCTCAGGTACATCTGCAATTGTCGGAAGGNCATATTTTTACGTTGTATGTGACAGTAGAAATAAGTCCTACATGTTGTTGTACTTCTTATTGGTT